CTGGCCCCTTGTTCTGAAGCCCAGCAGGCACAGACTCAGTGGAAAAAGACTATAACTTGAGTACTTTAAATACACTTCTTATTGTCATTCTGGATTTTTAAACTTTGTATTCCCCCGTGCTAGTCTTTTTGTTACTATTTCAATTCTGTGACAATACTTAAAGTATCTGTTCCAAGGAACCCTGTACCTAAGAGGGCACCAGAGGCAACATTACAAACTTTTCACTGCACTCGTCCGAGTGTACATGACAATAAAGGCCATTCCAATTCTAAAGAAAGATGGAAAGTGAAGATTTGGGAATGACTCCCATGTGAGCACTTCTTGTAACTCAGAATATTGAGGATTGCTTTGGAACAATTGAAGGCAGACTAGGAATGCTTTGACAATTAATGTTGCAGGACAGGAGAGGGAGCTGGCTTCTCAGAGAATATATGGGTTTTACACACTCCAGTTCAATTTTTGCAATGCACAATCACTAAGAAACACAACACTCTGGAAGGTTTGGATTTTGCAATGGATCTTCAGGAATTCAGAATGCACAATATTCCCATAACTCTCTAAAATACCTGCACTTTCCCCAATTCTGGGCAAATCTCACGATTTTAATCACAATTGGTGGCGAATGTTCAAACACCAAAGCCCCATGCTCTGGAATAGCTTTCCTACTACACCCCTCATTCTCCTCCTTCAAGGCACTTCTTAAAGGTATTCTACCATTCTGACCTAACATCTCCTTATGTGGCTTGGTGTCATACTTTGCTTTATGATGTTTCTGTGAAGCTTCTTGGGACATTTCATTATGTTAAAGACACTATAAAAATGAAAGTTGTTTGATCATATCTGGAGGTTATCTAGTGCTGATCAGGTAAGGGATTTAAATGCGGAGAAACGGGATCACTTTTCTATCTCGGGGCATCATTGCCAAGTGCTTCCAGGTCAGGTACAGCCTCATGTTCAAGCAGAAACCACAGCAGAATGACAGAATTGTTACAACACAGAGGGAAACCAATCAGCCTTTCATGTTTGCACCTCTCCGAATGAGCAGATCATTGTACTCCTGACTTCTCCCTTTCTTCCTTTTCCGATAGCAGTCTAAGTTCCTTTTGAATGCTTTAAGTGAGCCTTGCCTCCACCAATTTCAGTTTCAGACTGCATTACAAGCCATGTGCTCCTTGAAAAATGAAATTTCTCAAGTTGTTTTTGCTTCTTTTAATCAATACTTTAAAATCAGTTCCCGCTTATTCTCAATCTCTTAAGTGGAAGAGTTTCTCCCTGTCTACTCTGTCTAGATCTCTCATGACATTGAACATCTCGATCAAATCTCCTTTGTGCCAGTGTGATACTTCAAATTCTATTACCAAATAAACAATTCAGGTGATTACTAATTTTGTGGCAAATTGAAACAGTTGTGTTTTACCGTAAGCTCATTCCAATAAGATGTGTTGAAAATAACCCAACTGAATTCACCTAGTACGTACAGTGATAGAACATAGAACACAGAACATTACAGCGCAGTACAGGCCCTTCGGCCCTCGATGTTGCGCCGACCTGTGAAACCAATCTGAAGCCCATCTAACCTAAACTATTCCATTATCATCCATATGTTTATCCAATGACCATTTAACTGCCCTTAAAGTTGGCGAGTCTACTACTTTTGCAGGCAGGGTATTCCACGCCCTTACTACTCTCTGAGTAAAGAACCTACCTCTGACATCTATATCTATCACCCCTCAATTTAAAGCTATGTCCCTCGTGCTAGCCATCACCATCCAAGGAAAAAGGCTCCCACTGTCCACCCTATCTAATCCTCTGATCATCTTGTATGTCCCTATTAAGTCACCGCTTAACCTTCTTCTCTCTAACGAAAACAGCCTCAAGTCCGTCAGCCTTTCCTCCATACCAGGCAACATCCTGGTAAATCTCCTCTGCACCCTTTCCAATGCTTCCACATCCTTCCTATAATGCGGTGACCAGAACTGTACGCAATACTCCAAGTGCGGCCGCACCAGAGTTTTGTACAGCTGCAACATGACCTCATGGCTCCAAAACTGAATCCCTCTACCAATAAAACCTAACACACCTAACTGCCTTCTTAACAACGCTATCAACCTGGGTGGCAACTTTCAGTGATCTATGCACATGGACACCGAGATCTCTCTGCTCATCCACACTCCCAAGAATCTTACCATTAGCCCAGTACTCTGTATTCCTGTTACTCCTTCCAAAGTGAATCACCTCACACTTTTCCACATTAAACTCCATTTGCCACCTCTCAGCCCAGCTCTCCAGCTTATCTATGTCCCTCTGTAACCTGCAACATCCTTCCGCACTATCCACAACTCCACCGACTTTGGTGTCATCCGCAAATTTACTAACCCATCCTTCTACGCCCTCATCCAGGTCATTTATAAAAATGACAAACAGCAGTGGCCCCAAAACAGATCCTTGAGGTACACCACTAGTAACTGAACTCCAGGATGAACATTTCCCATCAACCACCACCCTCTGTCTTCTTACAGCTAGCCAATTTCTGATCCAAAAAAGTTACACCCTGATGAAAGGTTACACCCAATATCATAATCTCCTTTCCACATACTGAATGTCCTGCTGTCTAATTCTTGCATTTTCATTTTCTCTCGCTTACTCGCGTTATTCCTGACAGTCTGTATGGCTGTTTGCCGTAACTTTGCTGGCTTTCAAGCTATTGTGTTTGCCTCCACCCTCCCAACCCACCTTAGAAACAGCAGTGACTATTTCATAAATGGTGCTATGACAGACTATTTTGAAAATAAGCGCAGAAAATAAATACTGGCATTGATGTAGAGTCAATGGATTACTTTTGAAGTGCAGTGTCTGTTATAAAGTAGGAAATTTAACAGCCAATATTTGCACAGCGAGATCCCACAAGAACTGGGTGTTACCATTGACCAGAAACGCAACTGGACTCGCCACATAAACACAGCAGCTACAAAAGCAGATCAGATGTTAGGGGTACTGAGACAAGTAACTCATCTCTTGACTCCCCAGAGCCTGTCCACCATGTACAAGGCACACTTCAGGAGTGATGGACAACTCCCTACTTGCCTGGATGGGTGCAGCTCCAACAACATGCAAGAAACTTCAAACTCTCCAAGGCAAAGCAGCCCACTTGATTGGTACTACATCCACAAACATCCACTCCCTTCATCCTCAGTAGGAGCAGTGTGTGCTATCTACAAGATGCACTGCAGAAATTCAGACAGCACCTTCCAAACCCACGAACACTTCCATCTAGAAGGACAAGGGCAGCAGATACATGGGAAAACCACCACCTGCAGTTTCTGCTCCAAGCCACTCACCATCCGGACATGGAAATATATCGTTGTTCCTTCACTGTCGCTGGCTTAAATCTTGGAATTCCCTCCCTAACAGCACTGAGGATCAACCTACAGCAGATGATCTGCAGCAGTTCAAGAAGGCAGCTCACCACAACCTACTCAAAGGCAACTAGGGACGGGCAATAAATGCTGGCCCAGCCTGCGGTGCCTGCATACCATAAAAACAAATTTAAAGAAATGACACGTTCATAGCCTGATCATCTGCTTTCTTTTGTTATCTTGACCGAGGACAAACATTTTATATCCATTTGAGGCAGCCTCAAATTAACATCTCAACCAAAAGGCAGTGCAAAGGACAATGCAAATCATTACACAAAGTAGGAATTGGCATCACCTTGACAGAAACTTCTGCCTTGCCTGATGCCCAAACCTGGATAAAAACATCTACTCGTGCAGGAGAGGTGGTGGCTTAGTGGTAATGCCACAGGGCTAGTAATGCAGAGACTGAACTCCATCTTCTGGGATCAAGGCTGAAATCCCACTACAGCAGCAGGTGGAGTTTAAATTCAATTTATTAAAAAAATCTAGAATTAAAAGCCAGTCTCAGCAAGGTCATAAAATATCCCTAGCAAGCCATGCAATTCAATGGCATTTACGGATGGGCAACGAATGCAAGCCTTGCCAATATTGTCCACATCCAATGAATGAAGATTGTTTTAAAAATACATTACTATAAGTAATTGCAAGGACAATTAACTTCAATGTCACAAGGCTGGGGAGCTTCTTTCCCTCGACTCTTGAAGAATGCACAGGCTGAAGTGAGAACTGAATTGGCTGGCAAAAATCTGTCCCTAGTGAAATATTGCCATCTTAAGAGGTAGTGGAAAGCTGTCCTTTAAAAAATTGACGTTGAGAAGAGGGGAAAAAGGACAGCAAACTGGAAAGCAAATAGGGAATAACTGTAACTCGATATTTTTTGAAAATAATGTAATGTAAAAAAAAATACATTTTACTGTTGCTTGGAGGAAAAAAAAATCAACATATTCTGCAAGAAGCCAATATTATTGAGTTCATATAAATAGTTCTGAATGTTTAATGGAGATGGAATAAACCATGGCTTTAATTCCCGGTATTAAAAACTCTCTCGTAAATGAAATTTATCACATATAAAGACAGTAATAATCACCTTTCTGGGACAGGGTTGGGGGAAGCAATCGCGACTCATTGGGTTGAAATGAAATATTATGTATGCTCCCACCCCAAAAAGTAAGCTGACCCCATTTCACGGGAAACGTACAGTTCGGCTGAATCAATAGAACATCTGTCACCGCAGCCAACCTGCAGCCAAGGGAGGAGGCGGCAAAATAATCTGCATTAGGATTGCAATGCTACAACTGTTTAAAAACTATAATCCGATGAGTCAGAAAGACACAGCAGACCCAGAAGGGATGCAAGTGCTCAAGGAGGAATGAGGCATAACCTTTGGATTCCAACCAGCATTAATAGGTTGCCAAACAAATCATATCATTTCAAGACAGATACAAACACCGGCATTTCATGGGTAAACTTATACAATTCACATTCATATGTGGGAGTACACACCCAAATATACAGATAAATGTTCGTATATTATCTTAAATCTAAATCTTATGGATTTTCAGCAGCAGAAACAGCCTGACTTACCATCTCTGCGCTTCCAAAGCAGGTGACAGGGAGCTGCTCGCGGGGCACTCTGGGAGTTGTAGTTTCCGCCCCGCCCTTCTCCCGCAGCTCCTGGGCGGTTCTGAACTACAACTCCCAGGAGGTACGACGCCAGACACCACCTCATTGACTTCATTGGTTCGGCCCGAATCATGTTCTGCCAATTGCCGCCGGCATTGTTGGTGGGTAGTTCTTGGTGGGCAACATGGCGGAGTGTTTTGCTTGAGGGGCTCGTCGTTTCGAGCGGCGCTGAGTTTGTGATTTAGTCAGAAATATTTCAGGTAAAACACCTTTCATTTATTGTTTGATTCTCGTTGTTTTCTTTTTGGATCGAGGCTCAATCTTACAGCTTGGCTCCTCCTCTAGTTAATCATAAACTAGCAATACACTATGTAGTTAATGGAGGACCCCAGATCAAAAATGAACTCACTATAGACCAACTCCCAAGATCAAAAATGAACTCGCTATAGACCAACTCCCAAGATCAAAAATGAATTCACTATAGACCAGCTCCCAAGATCAAAAATGAACTCACTATACACCAACTCCCAAGATCAAAAATGAACTCGCTATACACCAACTCCCAAGATCAAAAATGAACTCAATATAGATTGATATTCAGATTAAACATAAACTCACTATAGTCTGACTCCCTAGATCAAACATGAAGTCAATATAGAGAAAAAAAAACTGCAGATGTTGAAATCCAAGGTAGACAAACAGGAGGCTGGAAGAACACAGCCAGCCAGGCAGCATATAGAGGAAAGGAGCAGATGTGCAGGCTAGGTGGATTGGCCTGTAGTGTTCAGGGATGTGTAGGTTAGGGGACGGGTCTGGGTGGGATGCTCTGAGAGTTGATGTGGACTTGTTGGGCCGAAGGGCCTGTTTCCGCACTGTAGGGATTCTGTGATAATGATAATGAACGTTTTGGGTATTACCCTTCTTCAGGATCAAACATGGACTCAATATAGACTGACTCCCCAGATCAAACATGAATTCAGAATAGGTTGACTCCCCCGATCAAACATAAATTCACTCTTGACTGATATTCGGATCAAATATGAACTCACTATAGACTGACTGCCCAGATCAAACATAAACTCACTATAGACTGATATTCAGATCAAACATGAATTCACTATAGATTGATATTCAGATCAAACAGGAACTCACTATAGACTGATATTCAGATCGAACATGGACTCACTATAGACTGACTCCCCAGATGAAACGTGAACTGAATATAGACTGTTACCCTAGATCAAACATAAACTCTCCACAGGCTGACTCCCCAGATCAAACATGAACTCACTATAGACTGATATTCAGATCAAACATGAACTCATTATAGACTGACTCCCCAGATGAAATATGAAATCCCTATGGACTGACTCCCCAGATCAAACATGAATCCACTATAGACTGTTACCACCAGATCAAATATAAACTCACTATAGATTGCTATTCAGATCAAACATGAATTCAATGTAGACTGATATTCAGATCAAACATCAACTCACTATTGATTGTAACCTCCATTCAAACATGAACTCACCATAAACTAGTACCCTAGATAAAATGATCTCAGTGTATATAGACACCCCAGATCAAGCAAGAACTCTAACTTGTGCGTGATTAATTATTGATCAACAGTTTAGATGCAGACACCTTTGATCAAATCTAACTGGGAAAAACTTTTCATCTCAAACCTATTATCACTTAAGGAAACTGGCATCTCAATTCACAGCTTGCCATTTACTCACAAATGGCACTTATGCTACAGCTAATCATAAACTATCACAGCAATCTAACAATAATTTTGCAGCACATGCAGCAGTTTTCCAGCAGTTATTTACAGGATTGGCATGTACATTTTCACACCAAATTTTCCATTAGTTAACTGTACCAATAAGTTGCCTGTAGATACCACCTTGAACTTGAACAAAGTCCCGAGGCATTTTTCAGAAACTTAATGGGGAAAATAGATGATGAGCCACAGAAGGAGAGACCAAAGGAGTGATGAATGGCTTGGCCAAAGAGGTGGGCTTCAAGGAAAGTAGCTGGAGCAAGAAGTGTTTTACTACAAATGCAGTGGAGTTGCATTTTTTAAGAGCGGAATCACTGACTATTTTAAATGCAGGATGATGTGGAACAAAAGGAAGGAATAGATCATTAGGCATAATACTGACTGCTGAAGTGAGCAATGGGCCAAATGGAATCTTTTTTGTTGTAAATTGTTATAGATTCGATTTGTTTCTGCAGTTAATAGTACCGTGCATATTTTGCACCTCAAGGAATTCTGTGGGCTAAACCAAAATTTGGAAGCAAAGCATTTCTAAATACTGGTTGGTGTTGTTCCACATTCATTTGAAATGAGTATTTTAGCCATCCACAAATGAGCTTTACTGAATTTGACGTCTGCATTGCTGAAGTTTTTGCAGTCAGAAATGTTTTTTATTCTGATCAAATCATTGCGTAGTTGTATTACACAAAGCCATGGTATTGCTTAGTGCCTTGACAAATTTTTGTGGGTCTGTGACATCTTGATTGTTCTGATGGCATTGCCATAATGCCTAATGCCTAATGATATTAGCACGGCTGGCATGGTGAATCTGATTATTTTTGCCATTCTTTTGCCTATCCTGGCATTGACAGATGAAGGTGGTGAACCTGAGGCAGGCCATTCTTCAGGCCTGGAAGGAGCGATGGACAGACTATCAATGGGCCATAAACATGAAAAAGCTTTTCCCAAAAGGTCCCACATGGGATCTCCTCGGGCTCTCAGGTGAGATACTCAATGGCTTGACATCTGTCTCTGAGCTTTAGAGATAATTAATTGGTTGTTTAAAACAGAAAAGCAAAAGCTATGCCATGAGTGAGTCTTGTATCACTTTAAAACAGATTTAGGAAATAGCTCATTCCACTGTTTTGTCAACCTGTTAACAGTTTAATCTGACTGCTGAAGTGAAAAAGTATTGATCAGATATCCAGAGCTAAACCACTGAGGCAAAGTATTTGAAAAAAAATTCCATCTGTCTTTCTAGCAAAAAGCAGAATATGCTGGAAATACACACCCGGGCAGGTGGTGTGTGTGGAGAGAACGTACAATTAATGTTGCTGTGTAGATCCTTTTTAGTTTTCTAGTTGACAATATTTTAATTATGTGTTATTAGGAATTGCCTTTGTTTAGAATAGAATAGAATAGAATCCCTACAGTGTGGAAACAGGCCCTTCAGCCCAACAAGTCCACACCAACCCAGCCCCCTATAACTCACCTAAGCTCCACATCCCTGAACACTACGGGCAATTTAGCATGGCCAATCCACCTAACCTGCACATCTTTGGTCTGTGGGAGGAAACCGGAGGAAACCCACGCAGACACAGAGAGAATGTGCAAACTCCACACAGACAGTCGCCCAAGGGTGGAATCAAACCCGGGTCCTGGTGCTGTGAGGCAGCAGTGCTAACCACTGAGCCACCGTATCGCCCAAGTCACCATGCTGCCCAATATTCAGTATTCAATAATGCAACATAAGTTAGCTCTTACTAGAGATTTTATTCCTATCCCTTATTTTATCCCTTATCAGTTTATTTACTGTATGTATAGGCATGCTGGGTACTGTCTCCAGAGCAACAGCTATCTTGTTCATTTTATTCAAGAGCTCATTGTTAATGCATGAATCTAAGTAACGAATTTCTGCAAATCTTTTTTACTAGGTCCTATTGAAGCCTCAACTGATGTCTACCCAGTTTCAGGCAGCTGTATTAATTAGGAATTGTGATAGGATAATGTTACAGATAATTTGAATAGAGAAATTTTCTCCCTCCTTCCCATTTGAGTGTACAGAGGCAAATAGTATATTTTCAACCGTTTTCACTGCTATTGGCTAACAGAGCACAGTCTAATAAAATCACAGTAAAGATTTTTCTATCATTTAGGTCAATATATATGGTAAGAGTGCATTTAACTGAAGTATAACAGGTGGAATGCCTATATCATCCATCTTCAATTTGATATTTAATGTTTTGGCACTGCAATTTGGCCAGATGAATTGCAATTCTCATATTTGAGAAAAGCATCTGCTACTAGGTTATAGTATTACAGGGCACCCAGTATGTTTAACCACTTTGAGTGTTTTTGTTCATAAAATAAAGTTGTTCTGACTTTGTTTCAATTTCCTTTAGATCATCTCCTGGAGCAGGCCTTGGTTGGCCCATCCCCCAATCCTCTGATTATGTCTTACTTGAAGTATGCTATTAGTTCACAGGTAATGTGATTCAAAAGTTTGTATATCACTGTGCCTAACCTGTTGGCTGAGAGTTACATGTGGTTCCCAAAACCTTGTATTTGGCTCTTAACATCCAGACAACTGAATCCTGTTTACACTTGTTTTCTCTTATTTATAGTGCAAACTTTGCATGTGGGAATCTGTCCTTTTTTGCTCTTGCTTCATTGCATTAAAGCAGTGCAGCAGTAACTGTTGGTCTCATCAAATTGAGATAATGCAAATTAAATGGGACCTTGCACATAAACTTTATATTTCTGTCCATGAAACGTCATGGTAAGGAGCTAAATGGCCCACAAAGTAAAATGTGGCCATCTCTAGCACTACCTTCCGAAAATGAATCATATCCATTTGTTGCAAATTTTGCTTCAGTAGGAAAATTCATTGGATGTACAATTTAAATATTTTGTACCATTATATAACACTTGGGGTTTGTTCAAAGTTCATTAAAAATATCTGGTCATTAAACAGAATTTTTTGTGTTCAAATAGTGTGATTTTTTCTTAGCATTTTCTCATTTGCAATCTATAACTTTATTCCACTTCTCTAGTGCTTAATGCAAGAATTGTGATTCTCATTAACGTAAAAGATGTGTTTAGCTGTGGTAGGGGTTCTTGTGGTGCAGTAATAGCATCCTTACCTCTGAACCAAAAGTCCTGGATTCAAGTCTCACCTGCTCCAAACGTGTGTTGTCACAACTCTGAACAGGTTGATTAAATATGGCTATTTTGTAGCATTCATGTTTCATATTAATGTCAGCCTACAACTTATGAAAGCAACAGCAGGAAATTGCAGGAATTTT